CAGCAAAAAATTATTTTGCAAAATATGCTGAGTCAGCATAAATGAGAAAATTTAATCCTGAATATCTCAAGAACCGTAAGTGGTTGGAGGTTCCAAATTTCAGATTTTCTTGATTTTTATAAACCCTATAACATATTAAAAAATTAGCAAAATCTAAAACATGGGGTGACATGAGCCTGCTGATTTGACATGGAATTACCCATGAATAATATGCAAAATTTATCAAATTTATAAAACAATAAATATTATTTTTGCTACAAATTAATTTGGTTATCGTTTGACTTTTATTTACAATGGAATTTTTTGGTCAACTTAATTTTAAATAAAAACATGATATATTTTTTTTTTTTTTAAATTACAGATGTATTTTTCTTCTCAAAAAAATTTTTCAAATAATTATTAAAGTTGATAAAAACATTTTTTAACTGACTAATCATTGGATTTTTTAAAAGTTTATAATGCCTATGAGCAAATAAGAAATGGCATTTTGTGGAGTTTTGTTTTAAAGTTTCTTGTTTTCTTGTTTTTCTACATTTTCTTTTGATATATCACACTAATCACTTTATATATCAACTTATAATCCATAAATTTTTTCTTTATAGAATTATACATTATATAATATATTTTTTCCTAGAATATCATCTAATAAATTTTGAGTTTTCTTTAATTATTTGAAAACTTTATTAACTATTACATTATATTTCAAAATAGTTTCTTTATTATGTTATGGACTTAGTGTGATCATTATTAATTAGATAAAGACTAGTGATATCTATCTGGAGTCTGGGATCTAGTGTTTTTTATTTGTGAATTAAAAAATATGATCAATCATCTTGTTATTTGATATCACAAGATGTAATGTGATCTACCAATATTGAAAAACAAGGTGTGATCTCTGATTAAATAATAGTGAATTTGCAATAGAAATTACTGAGTAGGGACACTTTTGTAGAGATTCTACAGTGTACTGGGTAGTAGGGACTCTTTTGTAGAGATTCTACAGTGTACTGGGTAGTAGGGACTCTTTTGTAGAGATTCTACAGTGTACTGGGTAGTAGGGACCCTTTTGTGTTTAAGTTCTTAAAATCCAAACTCTCAAGACTAGGTTCTAACTGAGAGACATTTCAAAACTTAAATGTATCTTATTGGTTATCTTTTAAGTTGTTGAATAAATTGTTCATATTAAGTTTTGATATTTTGTTCAAAATTCTTCTTTTTTTATCCTATCCATAGAGTTGATCAGTAATAGTTATGTCAATAAACACCTCACTAACTTGTACTCAAAAAAGATGTTTCTACACATACCACAACATCCTTTTAATACTGACTTGAGTTACTAGGGCTTGTTTTAAACATTGCACATTTTATATGCAAAGTTTGTGTTTTTATCTTTGAGTTTCTTATTTTGGTTATGCTAAAAAGTTTTTTGTTTGGTAACATTTAAATAAGGTGTCTTTTAGGCATCCTGTAATATTTTAATATTAATCTTGTTGCTGCCGTTACTCATTCGTGCATGTTTGCACAGAACTCACAAGTGCATATCCTGATTTTAATTGCTCACAAAGCAATTTTTTTAATGAATATGTGAACGCTTTAAAAAAATAAAATCGAAAATTAATTATCATGATCGTTAAAAATAAATATGTGTAAATTAAATGTTATAATTAAATTTTTTTAGTATGTATGATAAATTTAAACGTTTGAAACTATTTTTTCATGTCTTTCTTTAAATCTTTTAAAAGATATTTTTTTAAGTTACTTTAAATTATGAATAAGTAAAATTAAATCTTCTTATGATTTAATTGCTTTATTATTTTTATTTTTTTATTTTTACAAAGAATTGTTTAAAAGTTTTGTTTAAAACTTGATTTACTAATTAAAGCATGAAATGATTAAAAATTATGATTTTAAAAAGACTGTTATTTTTTTAAACAATTTTTTTTTGCAACTTTTTGAAAAAAAATTTTATATAACATAAAAATATTATATTTTTTTCTTTTCAATAATTTAATTTCACTTTTCAATGATTTAATTTCCCTTTTTAATAATTTAAATAAAATTTGTTCATTTATTAAAAAATCAGTATAAGTAACTTATAAAAGCGTTTTACGTAACTCTAATAGACCTTTTCACATTTTCAATATAAAAATTATGCGCGCGCAGAAATAGAAGTAAAATTGTAAATAAACATTATTTTAACAGTAATTTGTTCGAGATTTACAAAGCAAAACTAAGATTTGTCAAACAATATTTTAAAACCAATGCCATAAGTCTTATAAGAATTACAATAAAGAACCTGCCTAATCCAGTTTAAATAAAATATTAAGAAACAAGTAAAAAAAAATGTACATCAAAACATTGACTTTTGAATTTGTAAAAAATAATTTAACTCACTTATTCTGTACTCTAAATGTACTTAATGTTGAGTTTAAAGCTAAATATATATATATATATATATATATATATATATATATATATATATATATATATATATATATATATATATATATATATATATATATATATATATATATATATATATATATATATATATATATATATATACTGATGGAGAAACAGCCTGAGATAAGTAAATAATAATAATATCATCAAATAGTTTCAACATTGTAAACAGAAACTCTGTTGTCGAAGTTTGAATTATCTTTTTTCTTCTAATAACTTGTTCAACCAATATCTTTAAATTAGCAATTTCTTAAATTTTTTTTAGTTCTTTGTTTGTCATTGTCATTTGTCAAATCATTTGAGCTGCACCTTTCCAACCAGGAGAACTGTGTGGTAGATAAAATGTTCAGAACATTCAGTAATAATACTAAAGCCGTTATTAATTGAGTATTTTGGAATGCAATCTAATTAGTTGCTGTGATTTGTAATTTAATTTAAAAATTGTAGCCTAAGTGCTATGTCAGGAAAATCTTCTGAATATACTCATTTTATATTTTAAGGTAAATAATTTACTATGATGCGATAATGTAGGAGTGGAACAGTTAATTACTTTTCTCAATATTTTTCTGAGCTGTGGTTGTTTTATATTGTTACATATCTGTGTGTGCAATGATAATGGATAACAAATGCTTACTCATATGGTATTTGCAGTTTCACAAGTTAGAGCTTTGTTTAACATTTTGTATCATACATAAATCATCTTTCCACATTTCTAGATTGTACTAATTATTTTTACAATCAATGACAGCGCATGTTTTTGATCTCTTGAAACTTCTTTATGGTATAGGTTCAGTATTTACATTTTTTTTCCATTATAAACCTCTATAACTTAAACTGTTAAAATAATGTTTGTTTACGTTTTTACTTCTATTTCTGCGCGTGCATAAATTTTATATCAGAACTGTGAAAAGGTGTATTAAACATTTTAAAAGCAATTTTTTTCAAATGCAATTAAAAATGTAACAAAAAGTAACTTAAACTTTGAATTTTTTTAGTTTTATTTTAAAGCTAATTTATTTTCTTTTTTGTAAGGAATTGTTTAGCTTATTTTTTAGTTTTTTCAATTTTTTTTTTAGTTTAAGTTTAGCTTAACGTTTCTTTTTTCAGCGCAATTCTGAAACGTTTAAATCATCAAAACATCTAAAAAGTGGTGGTCAAGTTGTAAACAAAAAAAATACTTTGTGTGGTCAGCAATAGTGTTTAATCGCTCGCTATTCCTGTCCAAGCTTTATTTTGTCGAATTTAATTCTTGTCTGTCAAAATGTCTGATTGCTTTGTAAATTGATTGGACAATCTGAGGTTTTAGCTGGACAATGTCCAATGTCCGACCATTAAATTGACCCCTGACTATCTTATCTTAATGATGTTAATTGTATAGCTAATAGATTGTTTTTTTAGTTAAAAAAACCCTTAAAAAGTTTGATTAAAATTACCATCTTGATTAAACTTTTGTGCATAGCTATATATATATATATATATATATATATATATATATATATATATATATATATATATATATATATATATATATATATATATATATATATATATATATATATAATTGTATTTTCTAATTTAGCCTTTTAACATAAATTAAAATTAGTAACATCCAAAACATAGGGTTTTTACATGAAATAACCCATTAATGTTTTATAAAACTTTTTTGAATGCTGAAGTTAGGAGTGGAGTTAGTCAGTGGAAATCATTTTAAATATATATCTTTTGTGAGGTTAATTTCTATTATGCATTGTATTATTTAAGAAAACAGTTTTTATCATTTTTTTTTTTTTTTTTTTTTTTTTTTTTTTAACATCTTCACTTCCAACAAGGCTGCAAGCAACCACTATAAGAGTTGGAAGTTACTGGAAGAGAAAAGACTAAATCTGTAGAGCAAGATAACGATTGACTGATGACTTAAAAGATTGCAAATTATATGAATCAGGAAAGCAAGATGAAGGAAGCGAATTCCAAAGAACTGATGTTCGAGGAAAAAAACTAGAAGAATAAGAGTTTTTGAAGCACTTAGGAACAGTCACAGAAAAAGGATGAGACTTAATTGAATGGCGAGTAACACGAGAATGAATTTTAGTAGATGGCACAAGGGACGCTAGCTCTTTAGAGCAGTGCCCATTATAGTATTTGTAGAAAAGAGAAAGAGAAGCAACATTACGACGATGTGACAAAGGTTGGAGATTGGAGATCATTACTAAAGTTATAAGTTTTGATTAGAATTTTTATAAAAGTTTGAAGAAATTTGATGGTTTGCAAAATGTCTTTAATTCAGCCTCCCTTAAAAGCTTAAACATAAAACAATGTCTTATGTAAAATGATTTTTGTTTGAATAACAATTTTAAATGTCTTTAAAAAAAGGTTTTATTTTTCTCCATTTTTCTTTTAATCCACAACTTTTTCTATTTACCAATATCATTTGTAAATTTTGTGTTTTATTTATAATAGTATTGGTATGACATCTTCATTTCTATTTTATACTTACTTGTAAAATATATATATGTTTTTGTGTGAACTTTTTTTTTTAGAAAAATAGAACTAAGACACATGAGGTAGATACACATCTGAAACCTTTGGATGTCCAATCTTCATCTTTAAGAAACAGAAGTTCTCTAATTACATTTGATTCTTTGAGATCTGCAAAGACTTATGTTGAGTTTAGTATGTAATTTTTTTTTTTTATCTTTTTTTGGCTTTTGTTTGAATTTTTATTCATATGTTTTTATATTGAATTTAACCTATTCAAGTGTCCTGGGATCACAAAAAAATATTTGTGTCAGCTCTCAAAGCTGTTTGTGATTTTATTTTAAATTAGATTTTAATTAATTTAATGCTGAAATGTTTTTGTGGTTTCTGGAATGCAAATGTAAGTCAATAAATTATGAAAACATTTAATCAAACATTAGTTCATTAAGACTTTCACAAGGGTTCATCAACTCTTGTCAGCTTAGTATTAATAAAAAACTAAGTTTGAAAAAATTTAAAGTGATTAATAATTTTGCTGAAAGCCTTAAATCAATTGTGCTAAATTTGAAAATGATTTGTAGAAAGGTACATATTTGCATTGCTTAGGCTATAAAACAGTGTACTGAGTACTATCTATGTTTCGAGTCATGTTCTATAATAAATTTAAAAATGAATAAAGTAACAAAAACTATAAAACTCAAAAAACCACAGTCATCACCAAGTTCGCTAAACCTATCATTCACTAATATTCGTGGCCTTCAAAGTAACTTTTCTTCTGTTGAGTCTTATCTCTTGCAAAGTTCACCAGACCTACTTGCTCTTTGTGAGACTAATTTGAGTTTGGCTGTCTCATCTTGTGATCTTAGTGTTGATGGTTATCTTCCTTTGATTCGTAAAGACTCCAATAGTCACATGCTTGGCCTGGGCATTTACATTCGTAAGAATTCACCCATTTGTCTGGAAACTAGGTTTGAATCCACAGACTACTCTTTTACGTGCTTTCGTTTAGCACCACTTCACTCTATCACTTTTCTCTTTGTTCTATATCGCTCTCCTTCATCTCAAGACTGCACTCTTCTTGATGTTATTTCTGATCATATTGACCAAGCCATCTCTCTTTATCCATCAGCCAATATTGTTGTTGTCGGTGACTTTAACATTCATCACACTGAGTGACTTGGCTCTAGTGTCAGTAACTTTGCAGGCATTAAAGCCCACAACTTTTGCCTTTCTCAATCATTAACTCAAATAGTCAACTTTCCAACTCGCTTTCCAGACAACCCGAATCATTTACCTTCTCTACTCGACTTATTTCTGATCCAAGTCAGTGCTAAGTTTCTTCACACTCACCCTTAGGTGCTTCCGATCATGGTTTGGCCTCTCTAAAACTATTATCTCATTCTTTATTATCATCAGAATCCCCCTATTATCGTATATCTTACAACTACCTTAAAGGTGACTGGGACTCTTTCCGTAATTGTCTTCATGATGGCCCTTGGGTAGAAATCTTTTGTCTTCCTGTTGACAAATGTGCTTCTTACATAACTTTATGGATTCAGGCTGGCATGGAATCCTTTATTCCCTCTCGACAATTCCAGGTCAAGCCTCACTCTTCTCCATGGTTTTCCTCACATTGTGCTGCTGCAATTGCCAATTGAAACCATTACTTCCATATCTATCAGTAAAACAATTCTCCAGAAAACAGACGTCTGTTTATTACTGCTAGGAACCATTATAAAAAGGTTTTGTCTAATGCCAAAGCCCGCTTTTCTCAGATCACAAAATCTTGTATTTCATCACAAAAATTAGGCTCTCGTGACTTCTGGAGAATCTTTAATAGTATCAATAATAAGGGCAAGTCTGTAATTCCAGCTCTTAAGTATGGTTAAGACTTTTTCACCTAACCTAAAGACAAAGCTGAATTGTTTGCTAAGAACTTTTCATCAATATCATCTTATGATTCCACTAGTTATGTTCTACCTGATATAGGCGTCAAACAGTTTGATCCATTGCTCGACATCCGTATCACTCTAACTTCTGTATCTAAAGTGATTTCCTGCTTAGACTCTTCTACAGCTTGCAGCCCGGACAACATACCCGTTATAGTCTTGCAGAAGTGTTCTCCGGAGCTGTCGTCTATCTTTTCAAAACTATTCAACAAATGCTTATCAGAGTCTTGTTTTCCAGCCTGCTGGAAAGCAGCATCTGTTATCTCTATTTTTAAAAATTCTGGAGAGCGATCCGATTCGTCTAACTACTGTTCCATTAGTCTTCTTCCTATCCTAAGCAAGGTTTTTGAATCTTTAATTAACAAACACTTAATCTCTCATCTTGAATCTAATAACTTGCTGAATTGCTAACAGTAATAACCAATAGGTTTTATCACGCATTTGATAAAGGTGGAGAGGTTAAGGCCATCGCTCTTGACATTTCTAAAGCGGTTGATGAAGTTTGGCATCCTAGTCTTCTCCATAACCTTTCTTCTTATGGTGTATCTGGAAACATCTTTAAGATTATTGAATCCTTCCTTTCCAATCGTAGTATAAAAGTTATCCTTGATGGACAGCACTCTTCTTCTTATTCTGTAACCTCAGGGGTTCCTCAAGGTTCAATCCTTGGCCTTATACTCTTTTTAATTTACATTAACGATCTTCCAGATATTCTCTCATCTAAGGTGGCATTGTTCGCTGATGATACTACCATTTATTCTTGTCACGATAAGAAGCCAGCTTCCTCTGATTGCTTGCAGGGGGCATTTGGGCTTGAAAAGGATCTCACTTCTGCTACAGCATGAGCTCACAGTGGCTGGTGAACTTTAATTCAGATAAGACTCAATTTTTTTCAGCCAATCGTTATCGCAATAATTTAGACCTTCCTATATATATGAACGGTAATGTGCTCGATGAGTCGTCTACCCTTCATCTTCTAAGATTAACTCTTACTTCTAATCTTTCTTGGAAACCTCATATCAAATCTGTTGCAAAATTAGCATTCGCTAAAGTTGCATCTCTTTATCGAGCTCGACACTTTCTCACTCTGGATTCTATTCTCTATCTTTATAAATCTCAAATCTGGCCTTGTATGGAATACTGTTGCCATATCTTGGGCAGATCTTCTAATGATGCCCTTTCTTTTTTGGGCAAGGTGCAAAAACGCATTGTAAACATTTTGAACCTGCTCTTGCAGCTAAACGTTGGACCTGTTCTTGCAGCCAACCTTTAACTTTTGTCACATCGTTGTAATGTTGCTTCTCTTTCTCTTTTCTACAAATACTATAATGTGCACTGCTCTAAAGAGCTAGTGTCTCTTGTGCCGTCTTCTAAAATTTATTCTCGTGTTACTCGTCATTCAATTAAGTCTCATTCTTTTTCTGTTACTGTTCCTAAGTGCTCCAAAAACTCTTATTCATTTAGTTTTTTTCCTCGAACATCAGTTATTTGGAATTCACTTCCTTCATCTTGCTTTCCTGAATCATATAATTTGCAATCTTTTAAGTCGTCTGTTAAACGTTATCTTGCTCTACAATCTTCATCTTTTCTCTTCCAGTAACTTCCAACACTAATCAGTGGTTGCTTGCAGCCTTGTTAGAAGCGAAGACCTTAAAAAAAAAAAAAATTTAAAAGGTGATTATAAATTAAATGCTTAAAAGTCTGAATGTTTAAGATTTAGAAAATTGTTTTAACAATGGATTAAGATAATTGCTCCTAAAATGAAAATAAATCTGTTGTTTTTTAAACTAAAATTTTTCATAAATATAAGTTTTTCAAAACATCAAACATTTATTTGAGAAACTGACAGTTTTGACTTAAAAGTAAAATTTCTGACTTGAGTAAACAACAAAATTTCTGACTTTAGTAAACAATGAAAACTCTGATATTAGTAAACAACAAAAAGATGATTTTATTAAATGTAAAAAAATAGTTTCTAGTTAAAACTTTTTGATGTAAGAAAAAAATATTTATATTAAAGCCTATTAGATTTATTATTATTAGCTTTATTATATATATATATATATATATATATATATATATATATATATATATATATATATATATATATATATATATATATATATATATATATATATATATATATATATATATATATTATATACATATAATTATTTTTTTTTAAAACAAAACTTTTGAAACATTTGAGCAAGCTTGTTTTATTATAAGTTTTAACATAAACTGTTTTTACCATGTTGTAATAGAAGCTTGGTTTGAAATGTTATCACCAAATTGTTTCAATCCACCTTTTACAATTATTCATTGTCTTTGAAGAAATTTTTAACCCACTAAGCTTTACCTCTTGCAAAGTTCATTAAATCTACAAGCTTTTAATGAGATTTAAATTTGTTGTTTCATCTTTGGACCTTGATGGATTATATGTTGGCTCTTTGATTTGCAAAAAATCTTTATCAATTTACATATTTATTGTAAAATTATATTTAAAATCTCTATTTTTTCATGGGCTTTCATTTAGCATGACTTCCCTCAATCATCTTTCACTTTTTTTTTATCATATTTTTTTATCATATTTTTATCATATTTTTGTTCAAAGAGTTTTTTTTTTTGATTTATCATTATTAATTTTAATTTAATACCATATTGGCGAAGCTCGTTCTTATTATCCATCAGCAAATATTGTTTTTATTAGTGACTTTAATTTACTGGGACTCTTTTCGTGATTTTCTTCATGATAGCCCTTGGGTAGAAATCTCTTTATTTTCCTGCTGACACAGGTGTCTCTTATGGAACTTCTTGGGTTCAGACTGGCATGGAATATTTTATTCCCTCTTGACAGTTCTAAGTCTAGTCTCACTCTTCTCCGTGGTTTTCTTATTGTGCTGCTGCAGTTTCCAATTGTAACCATTACTTTCGTATCTATTGCTAAAACAATTCTCCATAAAACAAATATGGGTTTACTATCGCTAGAAGCCATTATAAAAAGGTTTCATTCGTATTTCATTTCAAATATTAGGCTCTAGAGACTTCTGGAGAATCTTTAACTGTGTCTATTATAAAAGTAAATTATTTCTCCTCTCTTGCCTGGCTCAGATTTTGTTTCCTCACATAAAGACAAAGCTGAATTGTTTGCTAAGAACTTTTCATCAATCTCATCTAATGATTCCACTAATCACATCTTACCTGATATAGCCAAACAAACAGGTTGATCCATTGCTTGACATTCATATCAATCCAGCTTCTGTATCTAAAGTGATTTCCTGCTTAGACTCTCCTACTGCTTGTGGTCCAGACAGCATACCTGTTATAGTCTTGCAGAAGCGTTCTCCAGAGCTGTTGTCTATACTTTCAAAACTATTTAATAAGTGCTTATCAGAGTCTTGTTTTACAACCTACTCGAAAGCAGCATCTATTATCCTGGAGAAATTGGAGAAAATGGAGAGCGATCTGACTTGTCTAACTATTTTCCCATTAGTCTATTTACTATCATCTTTAATCTAATAACTCTTAACGAATCTAATAATTTTCTTTCTGATCATCAATATGGATTTTGATCTTTTCATTCTACTGCTGATTTGTTATTGGTAATAATCAATAGGTTTTATTGTGCATTAGATAGATGCAGAGAGGTTGGCTTTTGTTTTCAACATTTTTAAAGCCTTTGATATTTGGCATGCTAATCTTCTCCATAAGCTCTCTTTTTACAATGTATTAGGTAACATCTTTAAGACTATTGAATCCTTCCTTACCAATCATAGTATAAAAGTTGTTTTTCTTACTTTCTAATTCTATTCTTTATCTCTATAAATCTCAAATCTGTCTTTGTATGGAATACTGTTGCCTATCTGGAGCAGATCTTCTCTTGATGCCCTTTCTCTTTTAGACAAGATGCAAAAACGCATTGTAAACATAGTTGGACCAGCTTTTGCAGCCAATCTTCAATCATTGTCATATTGTCAAAAGTGATTGTCCATAAAGTACATACGCTCAGAAGGGAAGAGGGGGTCTGCAAATGGCGTATATGAGATGTGAGGGTAGTGGGTCAATTATCAAAAAAAGGAGACACTAGATTAAAAAAATATCATAAAATCTTAGATAAACAGGTTAAAATCGTAGGTTTTTTTAGGGACGTGGGGGTACTCAAAAAAGCGTATTGCAAAATGCTCGGTGGGAGAGGGTTGGACAAAAATAAACATATGTACTTTATGGACGACCCCTAATGTTGCTTTTTCTATGAATACTACTTGTTATCAACATCGACTAAATCGACCAAAAGTTGACTAGTTGAAAGTCGAAATTAGCCAACTTTAAAAAATGGAATAGTTGATTTAATTGACTATGGACTTCCTACTAATCTACTAAATGTCGATTTAGTTGAGTAAAAATCATAAAATCTTTTCAACTCAATTTAACTTTTCAATCTTTAATTTTTGTTTGTTGGTTTAATAACAAATATTTAATAACAATAACATATACTATTATAACTATTACCTAGTTTTTTGTTTACTTTCCTTAAGTTTTATCTAATTCATAGCATGTTAACATTATTTATTACTAATTAAACTTTTGATTATGTATTTCATGGATTTTTTTTTTATTTGTTTACTTGAGGCTTTTGATTTTCATAAATAATTTCATACTTTTGGGGCCATTAAAAGACTCATAGGGTAGTCTGGATGATAACTGGGCCTTTTGAACTATTGCTAGTGATGGGTAAAGTCATGATGGAATGTATCTGTTGTTTGCTCTGAATAGTTGCCCAGTGAGTGGTTGTGGCGATCAAAGCTTTCTGCACTCATTGCCTGCAAATTGCCCTCCATGATAATGTTGTTGTTGAATGTTCATCATTTTTGGCCACTCTGGTGCATTTTCCCACTGCAAATACAGACTCTTGAAAAGGTGGTTAACAACACCAAGAAGCAAGTGAGGTTTCATGGGTGGAATGAAGTACAAGATAAGTTTTCCTTCAGATAACTTCATAACTGACTCATGCACAACATTCTGAAAGTCCCTGGCTTTTTTGGTTTGGGCACTTGCTGCTTGGAAGTATGTATAATTAGTTTAAATGAAGCCAAATATTTAGAGCTCACCACTCTGATGAAGGTTCTTTCACTCAATGTCACATCAGATACAAGGGTGAACACTTGAGTGAGACTGCAAATTACAAATAATGTTTGCAAGCTTCATGTAACATGACAATACAAATGGAAATCTCTAAAGGATCAATTTTTCCATGATCTGTTTTACATTGTCATAATTTTCAGAAAGGTTTTCTGTGATGTTCGACCAGAAGTTGATGCTTCACTCCTAAGTTCTTGAAGAGAGGTTTTTAGTCGGGGGAGAAGTATTTGGTTCTAAGTCAAGAACCCCTGGAGACAATTTCAAGAACCCCCTTCCTTTATCAATTCCAACCTTGATAATTTCATTTGCTTTTATAATTTCATCTGCTGCTTTTGTATCTTTTGCTGCAACTTCAAGCAAGTTCATTTGAAGCATTCCTTTTGTACAATTATCTGGAATCCCTTTCCCAATTAGTGAAAAGCATACTGAACAAAATTTTTCAACAACTAGCTGTTCTTTTGGCTGACTGGTTGTGTTTGTTGTTACAATCGATTGAGGGCTTCCAAACTTTGCTTTTCCCACATAACAAATCATGCAATAACATGTTGAATCTCTTGTTGCAGGACGAATTTTTATGTTTTGGTAGTCAGGTAATGAGGGAAGTCGAATATTTTCACAGTTGTCTCTTTTTCTAAGGCCTGCTTGACAGTTTTCGCAGATACCAATTGGGACTCTTTGATCTTCAAAGTTGATAGCTTGAACAAAACCTCTTGACAGCGTTTAACCATAAAGTCAGTCAGTTGCCCCTTAGCTTTTTTCAAACAGAAAAAAGCTACCAGGTTTTTCTGTTGCCATTGTGAGTTTTTGCTTGATTCGTCATTTTAAATAGTTTTGCACTTATATTTTGCTCAAAAAGCATAATGAAACTGATTGCAGACCTTTGCCGGAATTTTATTTGATTAATCATCTTGTCAATAGGTCAAAAAATCAAAATTTTTAAATCAATTTTTCTTTCATAGACGATGAAGAAATATTTTAAAACCAACTCTAATGTACTTCAACATATTTTTACTTTCATACCTCCAAAGGTTTTTCTTGGGAAAAGAGGTTAGAATTAAAAGTTATTTTGTGACACAGTGAGACAGTCTTTAAATCATTGGGCCTGGGAATAGATTGTCCCGTTGTGGGAACTGCTCCATTATTATTTTGATAATATTATATTAAAAAATAGATAGCAAAAATAAATTACTTCAATATTTTTATTACTATTTATTTCAAAAAAATAAATTATTCCCATGCTTTGACTTAATCGGCTTTTAGTCGATTTAGTAGATTTTAAAAATGTATTAGTTGATTTTAGTTGACTTAGGAAAACATTAGTTGATTTAGTCAACTGTTGAATTATTCAATAGTCGCGACAACACTAATACTATAATGGGTGCTGCTCTAAAGAGCAATCGTCTTTTGTTCCATAGAAAAAAATTCATTCTTGTGTTACTTATTATTCAATCAAGTCTCATTCTTTTACTATGACTGTTCCTAAGTGCTCCAAAAATTCTTATTGGTCTATTTTTTTTCCTTGAACATCAGTTCTTTGGACTTTGCTTCCTTGATCTTGCTTTCCCGATTCATATAATTTGCTATCTTTTAAGTCATCTGTTAATTGTTATCTTGCTTTATATTTATATATATATATATATATATATATATATATATATATATATATATATACATATATATATATATATATATATATATATATATATATATATATATATATATATATATATACATATATATATATATATATATATATATATATATATATATATATATATATATATATATATATATATATATATATATATATATATATATATATATAATAGTAAAAAGTACTATTAATTTTTTGACTTCATTAGTTATAAATTTTAAAATTTTAAACTAAAATTGATTTTGTTTATAAGAGATAAAAATGTTTTAAATAAAATGTCATTGTTTAATTTGTAAGCTTTGTTAATGATTTGCTGATTTGCTTCTTTTCAGAAAAGGAAAAAGAAGAAAAAGAACAGAAATACAATCCACCTCGTGCATTAAAGATACCTGGTGAAATTAGTAACTTATCTACTTCTCATCCTAAGAAACAGCTTATACCTCCTGGAAATGATTATGATTCCTCAAAACGATCTGATAATAATCTGCCTATCATTGGCAGTTTATCAAAAGAAGCTTATGACAGACTTAAGCAATATCCACATCACAGGAGAATGGGCCCAACTACATCTGCTCTTGTTCGACCTGCCCCACCGTTTTCTAGACCTCCCCCAGGAGCTGCATTAAGAGTAATGCCACCTAAAAAAAGAATAAAGTTAGAAGATGATAATGAGGAAAAATTAAACTGCACTCCAAATGTATCAAAAAATATTTCTCTGGATGTATCCAAAAACACTTCTCTGGATGTATCCAAAAACACTTCTCAAAGTGTATCTAAAAACAGTTCACTAAATGTATCAAAAAACAGTCCACTGAATGTATTTAAAAACAGTTCTCTTAATGTATCCAAAACTAGTTCTCTGAATGTATCTAAAAACAATACACTAAATGTATCCAAAAACAATACACTAAATGTATCCAAAAACAATCCTATGAATATATCCAAAAACACAGCACTAAATCTAACAAAAAATGCCAATTTGTGTTTACCTAAAAGGACAGATATAATAAAAAAAGAACAAATCATAAAAATGGATAATAAAAAGGTATTTTTTTATTTTAAAGTAATACCTAATATTTCTGTCGAACATTTTCAATTCATTTTCTGTCAAAAATATTTTAGGTATTTGTTCAGTTATTTAAATAATTAAATGCTCAAATATACTTATTTATAATAGTATTATTTTTTTAAAGTATTTATAAACTTTAAGAGCGACTGATTCTGTAAGAATCAGTCAAAAACACCAAACTTTTAGAGTGACCTCTTTCAAAATCGCTAATTTTTTAATATGTTGTTGCTATTCACACTAGAATCTCTAATCTAAAATTTTTTCAAAAAATAATAATTGGTTCTCTAGATATTAGATGTCAAAGTTTGACTAAATTTTTCAAAATATTGAACAAATTGATTTAACTCAAAAAAAAAAGTAAATACTTTACAATATATATTTCACTTTATTATTGTTTATTGGCTTTTCAGACCGAATATTAATAAAATTGGTAAAAAAATTTTTTTTTCCTTGACTAAATATCATGCTTCAAAATATGCAAAAAATTGATTTTTTGTAATTTTTGATCTTTATTTTCATTCAAAGCTGCGAATATTGCATAACTTTTTTTTGTTATTCTTTACCTAGTTAAGTCCCTAAAAGTATAAAAACACCATGGGGAAGTAAAGGCTGCAAAATCCAACTCAAAAATGAAATTCTAATCTTTTGACATATTGTGACATGATTATGGTTAAAGCCCTGGGTTTACAAAAATTCTATTTGGTGTAACGTAAACATATTTTAATTATTTATTAGATAGAAAAATAATAGTTGTGGAGTATAGGCATATTTGAGAGTTATTGAAAAAAAAGTATGTTGTTTTCAATTATTTTCTTTTTATAAAACTTCTTATAAAACTTTTTTTAGCTTATTTCTTCATAAGTTTATTAGCTTTTTCAAAATCATATCTTGCTAAGAAGTAATCACCGTGGTGATTAATTAGAGTTAGAAGACTTATTTTACATAAGATGTCATGGTATATCTAAATATACCATGGTATATCTAAATATACCATCTTTCAATTTGGCCATTCCCAGCTAACACAAAACATTCAAGTATGTTCTACGAACGTTGCGAACATTCAAGCATATTCTATGAATGTTCATATAACGTTTTTGAACATTTGCAGCATTTGTTGAACGTTTTGTGTTAGCTTGGTTGATAACAGTTTGTTCCAAATGAAAAACTTTTCATACAGTTAATTAAAGTACCAACTTCAGTTATCTGAAAATATCTGAATTTATCTGGATCGATGAGACTTAATTTCTATAATAAATAATCATTTAAGTTTTAATATTGTTTTTGATGTATTGTTAGCTTTTTACTTAGGTTTTATGTATTATAAGTTTTTGGTTTAAGAATATATACAAAATTATCTTTCAACTATATAATAGAAAGTTTAGTTGCAAGTTTATTTATTTCTTCTTAAAATTTCTCGGCTTCTTCATTTTCAACTTTATTGTTATTGTCTTCCTCATTAGTCGGACAGTCAATTTTCCAATTCTTAATAGCTTACTCCATCTAGGGAACAAAGATCTTATTTATTGGCTTGAAACAAACTTATTAGCTGTAAGATATTTTCTTATCACTGTGTTTACATCTGCTGGGGACATCTTATTTCCTATATTTTCTTTATTTATGAAGTATTCATAATGAAGTTTATTCAGCTTAATGGAAAAATGAAAAAATCTTTCTTGTTAGCAATGCCCAACCTAATTTATGGAACTTTTGAGAATATATGTTGTTTATTGGGATAGGTATGATCTTAACTGATGCAGTTGTAGAATTAGAATGAACTTGCAAAGTTGCTTTCAAGTTTTCAGTATAAACTTTTTTTGTTTTATCTAAAGAAGAAGATTGTTCAGTTTTTTTGTGCTGTTCTGTCAATATATCCTTTTCTAACTCAATAATAGTTTCAAAAGATTCAATAGAACCAGTGTCCTAGCAAAATATGATGAAAAAATCAATTTTTGCATATTTTGAAGCATGATATTTAGTCAAGGAAAAAAAAATTTCTTTACCAGTTTTATTAATTTTTGCTCTGAACAAGCCAATAAACAATAATAAAGTGAAATACATATTGTAAAGTATTTACTTTTTTTTTTTTGAGATAAATCAATTTGGTCAATATTTCAAAAAGTTTAGTCAAACTTTGACATCTAGTTTATAGAGAACCAATTAATATTTTTTGAAAAAATTTTGGAATTGAGCTTCTAATATTAATAGCAACAACATATTAAAAAATTAGCAATTTTAAAGAGGGTCACTATTGAATTCTGCCTGATTCTTACAGAAAGTCGCTCTTAAGCAAGATTGTGTGTGTGTGTGTGTGTGTGTGTGTGTGTGTGTGTGTGTGTGTGTGTGTGTGTGTGTGTGTGTGTGTGTGTGTATATATATATATATATATATATATATATATATATATATATATATATATATATATATATAATAGTGTCTCAAAAAATTATCTGACCAAACAATTTTTGAAATATTTTTCTTAAAAAGTGCCTTTTTTGTAATTTTAGACTTTTTTTGGTAAACTTAAGATAAAAATAACAATAGAACATGTTTTTAAATAGATTTTTTTCATTTTGGTGTAAAATATCACAGTTTTCAGTCTTAAAATAAAGGAACTTAAGTTGTTTTTTTATTGTCAAAAAAAATACTAGGCCAAATACATTTATTGTTACATCATAAGTTATTAAATAACAAAACAATTATTGTAATACTTTGTAGGGCCTCCTTTTGCTTGGATTACTTTTCTCTAAAATTTTTGGGCTTTTCTCCTAATATTTTTGGCTCAAGTTTGGCAAAAATTACTGACCTTGTTTCTATGTTTTATAGTAAAAACTTTGTGTCAAATTTTTTTTGCTGACCTGATGCCAATGCCTAATTGTTTAGGGTCAGTAATTTTTTGCCAAACTTAAACTATTTTTTCTGAGGGCTGTATAAATATTTATACACACACACAAATATGTATATATATATATATATATATATATATATATATATATATATATATATATATATATATATATATATATATATATATATATATATATATATATAGCAGTATAAAGTATATATATATATATATATATATATACTTTATAGCAGCCATGGTGTAGTGGTTGGAGTTCTTGCTTAGAATCAAGAAGTCTGAGGTTTGATGTCAGGTCTGACCTAAGAAAGAAGGCATGTACTTCCTAGTTAAATTACTTTTCTGTGATGCGTTATGATGATGCGTTATGATGATACTCTTAGTTTCATTGGAGCACCTTAATAACTAAAAAAAAAGTCATCGAAGTGATTGTGTTTTGTTGTGAGGACTTTCCAAGTAGAAACTAAAAATTGTTAGCTTATTTTTCTAAAGACACCATATTTTTGTATTTTTATCAATAATTATGATTTTAAATAGAGTGGATCTTCGAGGCAATAATCAACATGTATCCAAAATAAATAATCTAATTTTTCAATTGTTTTTGCCATTTAACAAATCTTTCCCTTTTTCAATATATTCATTGACATCTGATTCACAAGCAAAAGGACTGTCTTGTAGTTTTAACAAACAGTTTAAAAAATCGTATGTAATGAAAATATATAAAAGACTTCATTAAAGACAAGTGAAAAAACAACCCTAAGTAACTTTGTATGATAAAAAAACAGAGGTTTCTATAAAATGATTTCTAAAGAAGTTTTGATTTAATACTAGTTCTTTACTTCTTGTTGTAATATTTTTTATTTTAATCGATATCTAAATTTAATTTACAAAATTAATAGCAAAGTATTTTCTAGCAAAGTAAAATAAAAGCAAATAATTACGCTAGATGAAACTTATTTTTGTTAAAAACAGCTTTTATTTATTTTAATTCAAATTTATCCAATCAAAATTTAAATTGTATAAATTTCAACATAAAGTTGCATAACTTTATACTCAAAGAATGCGCTACAAAGATTTCTAGTTTTTTAATATCTTTAAAATGTTAAAAAATAGAAGTAGAAGGCCAATTTTAATAGAGTTTTGTTTATTTATGATATTTTAATAGAGTGTTGTTTCAATTAAAAGGATATTTTAATAGAGTGTTGTTTCAATTAAAAGGATATTTTAATAGAGTGTTGTTTCAATTAAAAGGATATTTTAATAGAGTGTTGTTTCAATTAAAAAGATATTTTAATAGAATGTTGTTTCAATTAATCTATTAGAATGAAAAGCTTGTTCGTAGAGAGGTAATCAAAATGGAAAATGTTAGAAGAAGTTCACCAGTTAATCAGAAAGTCTTAAAGTCTAATGGTTTTCAAAAGGTTTCTTCTAAGAATGTCATAGTTCAAAAGTTAACACAGCGGCAACAAAAACCCTTGCAAAAATCACATTCATCTCATACTCAAATAATTGCAAAAAATAAGGTTTAATATAAATTTTTTTATAATATATTGTTATATAATACTACATTATAATAATATATTATATTATAATATGTTAATTATATTTTCATTGTAAAAGTTATTACATTTTTATATGATATATTGTTTTACATTTAATATAATAATATAGATATTTTTATTTCGTGTTGGTAGCTATCAAAAAACTTTTGCTTTTTTTTCTAATTGCATAATTTTTTTAATATGTTTAATTCATTATATATAATCTATATAAAATGTCAATATTGTTTGAGTTAAGTTATTCAAGTTCATGAGACAGAAGTGATAAAACATTGAAAACATTTCATCTCATTCTTTTCTTATCTTGTTTGTTTTATAGAAAAAGTTTCATTCAAAGCAAATTCAACGTTCCTCACTGCGCCCCACCATTTCGACTATATCTAAACAACAAGAATGTATTACAGATACATCTGATGATAAAAATAAACCACCATCTTTTCTCGGAGTAAAGGTATTTTTTACTTAATTTATAATAAATAAATAAAAATGTAAAAAATTATTTTGTATAAAAGCAATCAAAATCCTATTATGTAGTTCATGCTTAGACATTACTAAAAATACTTTTCAAATGATTTAATACTATCTGGCCCTCTAGCACCAATTTTTTATATTTGACAACATTAAAATATTTTTTTGTATTTAGTTCAAAAGAATGAAAAAAGCAAATCTTGGTATGTTTATTTTTTTTTCATTTGTTTACAATAAGATTTTTGAATTTTTTTTTTTTTTATTGCAAATTTTTTATAGATCAAAATTTTAAAGATAAAAATATAAAATTTTATTAACTAAAAACTTTTATTAATTATATAGTTTTATGAACTTCTCTTGATACATCGATTTTTATATTTTTGGAATCGAAGAGCATTTTTCTTAAAGGTTCTAGGTCTATTTTTTTTGGAGTTAAGTTTTGGTAACTAACATGACACATAACTAATACAACCATGGCCAATATCTCTTTTTTTAGGATTTCAAGCTTGCTGAATTTATTCCAGTTGTTTCACTCATACAAAGTATCACAAGCCTGATATTATAATAATCTGGACTTTTTTACTGTTAAAAATGATGAAGGGCCAATACAATATTTGACCAACGATTTGTAACCACAAAACTTAATATACTCATCACCTAGGTTTTTAAACAATTTGCTACAATCTCTGGAACTCTCTGGCATCCTAAAATCTATAAACACTATTGAACTGTCTGACATCAAAAATAAATAAACACTATTGCAATCCTCGGAATTAGGGTCAGCAATGCCAACCTAACTGCTGACCTGAAAGTGTTTGAGGTCTGCAAAAATTGCTGACCTCGTTTCTATGTTTTATGGCTAGACCTTTGTATCAGATATTTTTGCCGACCTGATGCAAATTATTGCTGACCTCATTTTTCCTAATTCCGAGGGTTGCTATTGACAACTAAGAACTTTAAGAAACACATTACATAAACAATTCAGCAGACAAGTTTTATTTCTTCAATATGCATACAAAAAAATTTATTGTTATGTTTTTTTATTCTAAAAAATAGATTCAAGAAAAAAAAAAAATAATATTCTGCCTTTTTTTTTTTTAGTTTTAATAATTTATTATTAATTGTTTTTTAAATTTAAAAAAAATTAATTTCTTGCTAGCTGGCCTCTCCAAAAACCCTGACCGCGGCTGCCTATGCTAGACATGTGTAAAGACAGGCCTGAATGCAATAGATACATTCATGTAGATTTCATTCTAATCATTTGCATACAATAGTGGTCTTAGCTGTATCATACAGTGCCTCATAAATTTTTGGCATTTCAATCCAAAGAGTTTTTACAGTATTGATATGGCTTTTCCATTTTATCACTTAACAGTTTAACAGTTAAAGGTGGACACTTTATTAGCAAAAGTGTCCATCTTTTTGTTGAAGCAGAAAAAAAATTGTAAACTTCTTTGATATTGAAAAACATTGCAATTTTATGTAAACATCTGACAGAACCAACAACTACTAGATTTAATGTTGTATAATGTAATATGTTGTATCATGTAATAATTTAATGCTGCATGGAATATAAAACGCTTGAATGTCTTTTTTTAAGAATAAAAGCTTGTAGATCATTTCTTATGTCTTTCATATTCACACCATTGTTATAGCTCTGACCTCTCTCCACTGACAAATTATTTTTTTCCATAGAGTCAATAATCACATTTGATAATTCAAGTCTTGTTGAACCTTTAATTAAGTGAAATCCAAGAAAACTTTTGTTAATGTTAAATTCGTTCTGCATCAACTACCTACATTTCTTTATCTTCCAAATCTATCAATTAAATTTCAATCCAATAATTCTTTTCTTTGTTTAAATTCTTTTCTTTAAACACAATATCAATGATTGTTTAGCAGAAAAATGCATGATTTGTTCTCAATTAAAACATTTTTAAAATCGTACACTAATATACACTAAATAAGTTTAATAAAAATTTAAGAATGTTTTTTTGAGTTATTATAGTTTTTATTATAAATTAATAATACTTATTCTTACATACAATAAGTATATCAATTTTTATATAATTATTCTTATAAATTTATATATTCTCAGAAAAAAAAAAATTAAATAAAAATTTGGTATATTTGAAGCCTTGGCGTCTGAGTGAAAAATAAAAAATTACCCATTATACCCGCCTTCCTTACCCGCCTGATTACATGCATATATTTGCGAAAAAAATATTTTTCACCAATTTTTGGCAGCCATTTTTTAAAAAAAAGAAAATTTCTAACTAAAATTGCTGTAACAGACTAAATTTTTTTCCAGATTTGAATTAAGTTTCACATTGCTTAAAAACAGATTGTTATAGTAAAACTATCAGATTTGCCCCACCTTATTGTTAGGGATTTACAATAAAATCTTCTGTTAGCAACTTTCAATAAAATCTCTTATTAGTGACTTACAATAACCACTTTACAAATTTGTAAAGAAAGTAACATCTTTGTGAAACTATTTTCTTAAAGGAATGCTTATAAAAAAAAACTTTAAATTGCTTGTTATCATGAAATTGACTTTTTTATGTTTAAAGTTTAATAATTTTTATGCTTTTTCAGAATATAGGATTAGGTCCTAATCTAAATTTATATACCAAAGATGGTTTCATTTTTTTTCTTAGTTATAAAAGTTGAATGGGCCTCATTAAAGTTTAAATTTTGTCACCTAAAGCTTACCAATTTTTTATTATTTTTTTATTTTGCTTTAAATAATCATATCAGGTAGAAACGAAAAATTCGTTCAAATTTAAATTGAGATTTCTTTAAAAAGAGATTAGTATTTAAGGTCTTCTTAGTGACAAAATAAGAAGACTGTATACCACAGCTACAAATTGTTTGCCACACAAGGAATTTGGGTGCAAATTTTTCTCGTCAAATATATTCAAATTGATTATCGACAGGTTTATCTTTGTTTTTATAATAAAATTGTTAACCAGAATATTTGCCATTATTTTAACAAACTTCTTTGGACGTCAAATTCTTTTAATTTTGCCATTTAAGCTTCTCTTAGTGTATTTTTCATACAAAATGCTATAATTCTAGCGTTTTTAAGTACTTTTTTAATATAAGAATGCTAAGTCTTGAATTTTCTTGCTAGATCTTGCTGTGACTGGGTCAGATTTCTTGCTATTGAGTTGAGAATTGACTTTACCTTTTTGGATTTATGGAAAATTTTCTTTCTTCCACTTCCAGAGTTTCTTTCAAAACTTTGAGTAGTCATGAACTTATTTATAATATCTATGACTGTAGATATTGGGACATTTGTATGTTTAGCAATCAAACCATATGTAGTCGATGGATTTTTGCAAAAAAAATTCACAACTTTTTTATGAACCTCAATTTGTTTTCAAAACATTTTGTAAATAATTGATTTGTAAACAAAAGTTTATCAACACAATTAAAAATAAGGAAGTAATATTTAATTAAAAAAATAAAAAAAATAAAAAGCATTTGTGGTTTTAAAGAAATCAATTTAAAGTTGACCAGATTTTTCTGTGTCCACCCAATATTACAAAAAAACTTATACATATATTCTTCAAAGGCAAATGAGTTTATTCACATGGTTATACAAAATAATGTTTAGATGGCTATGTATATCTAGCAATTTTTATTATTATATAATTTTTTTTTGTTTTTAATAATTTTTTTATTAAATTCATTTTTATAAATGATTATTTATGTATGCTAAATGTTTATATATGTATTATATGAAAGTTTCAAGCGTTCACATTGCAATTTTGTGAAAAGATTCTCTATTGACTAATTTCTGCTTTAGCTAATCAAATTAAGAGAAGCAAAGATGGTAAACTAGATTTGATGAGACCAGATTCAATTCTAACATCTATTCATTTAAAAGTACGTATTTTATATTTAAAAAGGCTTTTTTGTTAACATATTGTTGCATGAGAATTATAGAGTTCTATCTGCCTTGTTTTATGTTGAAAGAATTTAACAATCAAAGTTTTAAATAATAATAAATAATAAAAACAAACCACCTAAAAAATGATATATTATATATCATTTTTAAGTGGTTAATATAGATAACATAAACAACTTATAATTTATAATTATAATGAATAACAGCTGTAAAACATGTATTGAATAAATATTGAAAGTTAAGTTCTCACAACATAAAAAAAGGCAGATTGAACCCTATAATTCTAATGTGACGATATATTGAATGCATATGTATACTCATAAGGTTGTGCAAATTAAATTTACATCCATATTTTACGTCATTTTTCAATACATTTTATTCGTTATCTGTGTTTTTAGTGTTCTAAAATCATGGATAATGGAATAAAATATATGGAAATATGTTATTCATTATCACTTCTTAAAACAATAAATAGTTGTTTAATTAGACACTTTTTAAGGTTTTTCGAAACCTGTTTGCTAAGGTTTTTATTGAAGATTTTTTATTTTTTTTACTATCTTTTTTTTTTCATATGTTCAAGTGATGTAAGTTTAGATTTTTTTTAATTATGAGTTTGGCATGAACTGCTTTTTTAATTATGAGTTTGACATATGCTGCTTTTTTAGTTATGAGTTTGACCTAAGTTGCTACTTGTGTTTACCCTTATACTACTTAGGTTTTATTTTCCTTTTAAAATACTTTTTGTAAGCTTCTAAAAATTCATGATGTTCTTTGCCTTTTAATTATATTATCATTGAATTGTATATTTGTATAATTGTTATTTAGTTTATCTAATGGAATACACAATTTTAACATAAGTTTTGAATTAATTTTGTATTGCACTGTAACATTATAAATCTTTGCTAAATAAATATAAATATAAGTTTAAATATAAATAATAAAAATATAAATACATTTTTAAAATAACATTATTATTATTTTTTTAATGGTGATATATTTCAATTTGGCTGATATCTGAACAACATGAACTTTCTAATGTCAACAACCTGCTTTTATGCAGATTGGTTGGCAATCCCTTTCTTTTTAAAACTGTTCTTCTTTTATGAAATGAGGGATATAGATATTACTCACTTTTTTGAACATGCAGTGTAATATATGAAGAGTTATACCTTCCTCTTTTTAATGAATAAAAATTATCATGTCTAATTGTGAAACTTTTTTTTCTGATGTTTTAAAAATATAAAGTTTTTAAAATTGTGTTGAACTAGAAAAAACTATTATTGCATCAGTTATTAAAATTCTTCCACAATTTTCCTGATTTATTTTCAATCTAAAAACAAGATAGCCAAATGTTGCATAAAAGATTTATTATATTGGTATGTTGTAACTTATTTACTTTTTAACTTACATATCTTTTAAACCAACTTATCTTTCAAATTAACATATTTTTTGAATCAACTTATCTTTCAAAACAACTTATTTTTCGAACCAACTTATTAAATAAAAACTAAATTTCAATTAAATCTGATCCAACCAACTTATTGTACTTAAATTGTGAAATATTTCGGTTGTTGATGTTTGATGTTTAATAATGGTTGAACTTTTGCATTTGTTCATTGTTTGATGTTTAATAATGGTTGAACTTTTGCATTTGTTCATTGTTTGATGTTTAATAATGGTTGAACTTTTGCATTTGTTCATTGTTTGATGTTTAATAATGGTTGAACTTTTGCATTTGTTCATTGTTTGATGTTTAATAATGGTTGAACTTTTGCATTTGTTCATTGTTTGATGTTTAATAATGGTTGAACTTTTGCATTTGTTCATTGTTTGATGTTTAATAATGGTTGAACTTTTGCATTTGTTCATTGTTTGATGTTTAATAATGGTTGAACTTTTGCATTTGTTCATTGTTTGATGTTTAATAATGGTTGAACTTTTTTGTTCATTGTTTGATGTTTAATAATGGTTGAACTTTTGCATTTGTTCATTGTTTGATGTTTAATAATGGTTGAACTTTTGCATTTGTTCATTGTTTGATGTTTAATAATGGTTGAACTTTTGCATTTGTTCATTGTTTGATGTTTAATAATGGTTGAACTTTTGCATTTGTTCATTGTTTGATGTTTAATAATGGTTGAACTTTTGCATTTGTTCATTGTTTGATGTTTAATAATGGTTGAACTTTTGCATTTGTTCATTGTTTGATGTTTAATAATGGTTGAACTTTTGCATTTGTTCATTGTTTGATGTTTAATAATGGTTGAACTTTTGCATTTGTTCATTGTTTGATGTTTAATAATGGTTGAACTTTTTTGTTCATTGTTTGATGTTTAATAATGGTTGAACTTTTGCATTTGTTCATTGTTTGATGTTTAATAATGGTTGAACTTTTGCATTTGTTCATTGTTTGATGTTTAATAATGGTTGAACTTTTGCATTTGTTCATTGTTTGATGTTTAATAATGGTTGAACTTTTTTGTTCATTGTTTGATGTTTAATAATGGTTGAACTTTTGCATTTGTTCATTGTTTGATGTTTAATAATGGTTGAACTTTTGCATTTGTTCATTGTTTGATGTTTAATAATGGTTGAACTTTTGCATTTGTTCATTGTTTGATGTTTAATAATGGTTGAACTTTTGCATTTGTTCATTGTTTGATGTTTAATAATGGTTGAACTTTTTTGTTCATTGTTTGATGTTTAATAATGGTTGAACTTTTTTGTTCATTGTTTGATGTTTAATAATGGTTGAACTTTTGCATTTGTTCATTGTTTGATGTTTAATAATGGTTGAACTTTTTTGTTCATTGTTTGATGTTTAATAATGGTTGAACTTTTGCATTTGTTCATTGTTTGATGTTTAATAATGGTTGAACTTTTGCATTTGTTCATTGTTTGATGTTTAATAATGGTTGAACTTTTGCATTTGTTCATTGTTTGATGTTTAATAATGGTTGAACTTTTTTGTTCATTGTTTGATGTTTAATAATGGTTGAACTTTTGCATTTGTTCATTGTTTGATGTTTAATAATGGTTGAACTTTTGCATTTGTTCATTGTTTGATGTTTAATAATGGTTGAACTTTTGCATTTGTTCATTGTTTGATGTTTAATAATGGTTGAACTTTTTTGTTCATTGTTTGATGTTTAATAATGGTTGAACTTTTTTGTTCATTGTTTGATGTTTAATAATGGTTGAACTTTTGCATTTGTTCATTGTTTGATGTTTAATAATGGTTGAACTTTTTTGTTCATTGTTTGATGTTTAATAATGGTTGAACTTTTGCATTTGTTCATTGTTTGATGTTTAATAATGGTTGAACTTTTGCATTTGTTCATTGTTTGATGTTTAATAATGGTTGAACTTTTGCATTTGTTCATTGTTTGATGTTTAATAATGGTTGAACTTTTGCATTTGTTCATTGTTTGATGTTTAATAATGGTTGAACTTTTGCATTTGTTCATTGTTTGATGTTTAATAATGGTTGAACTTTTGCATTTGTTCATTGTTTGATGTTTAATAATGGTTGAACTTTTGCATTTGTTCATTGTTTGATGTTTAATAATGGTTGAACTTTTTTGTTCATTGTTTGATGTTTAATAATGGTTGAACTTTTGCATTTGTTCATTGTTTGATGTTTAATAATGGTTGAACTTTTGCATTTGTTCATTGTTTGATGTTTAATAATGGTTGAACTTTTGCATTTGTTCATTGTTTGATGTTTAATAATGGTTGAACTTTTTTGTTCATTGTTTGATGTTTAATAATGGTTGAACTTTTGCATTTGTTCATTGTTTGATGTTTAATAATGGTTGAACTTTTGCATTTGTTCATTGTTTGATGTTTAATAATGGTTGAACTTTTGCATTTGTTCATTGTTTGATGTTTAATAATGGTTGAACTTTTGCATTTGTTCATTGTTTGATGTTTAATAATGGTTGAACTTTTTGTTCATTGTTTGATGTTTAATAATGGTTGAACTTTTGCATTTGTTCATTGTTTGATGTTTAATAATGGTTGAACTTTTTGTTCATTGTTTGATGTTTAATAATGGTTGAACTTTTGCATTTGTTCATTGTTTGATGTTTAATAATGGTTGAACTTTTTGTTCATTTTCTTGCTGAAAACTCAAGTTATTACTCTGATGTTTTTTCTTTTCTTTTGTTATCTATACGTTAATGCAAATGCCTGTTTAGTATCTTAAAAATAAATTAAACTTTAAAAAAATAAAAAATCATAATTATTTTTAATTAGGATTGTATCAATGAAAGAACATTCAACTCTTTACCTCCTGCTTATCAATACCAACTACTTATGTTGTTGCCCGATGTAGATAGAAAAATTGACAAAGATGGGGCTCTAAGGTAGTTAAAAGTAATACTTATTCATAGATTAATCTTTGCCACATTTTGTAGAAATCTGTCCAAAGAAAAAAATTTATGAATTATTTTATTTTAGACTATCAGCACATGCATTAACAAATGAGTTTTTTACAAGAGCTTGTCAAGATTATAAAGATAAACTTTTAGATGGTAAATTTTTCTTGTGTGTATGCGCTTTTGTTACTTTGTTTTGTGTACGCGTGTTTGTTGCTTTATTTTGTGTATACATGTTTGTTACTTTATTTTGTGTATCCGTGTTTATCATTCTGTTATTTGTATGCATTTTTGTTACTTGGTTTTGTGCATGCATTTTTGTTGCTTTATTTTGTGTATACATGTTTGTTGCTTTATTTTGTGTATACATGTTTGTTGCTTTATTTTGTGTATACATGTTTGTTGCTTTATTTTATGTGTATACATGTTTGTTGCTTTATTTTGTGTATACATGTTTGTTGCTTTATTTTATGTGTATACATGTTTGTTGCTTTATTTTGTGTATACATGTTTGTTGCTTTATTTTATGTGTAGATTATAAAATAATCAAAAGCATAGCTAAGAGCTATACTAGAGATTAATGGTTAAACATAATTATTTGTGATTATCATGAATATATAAGTATATATATATATATATATATATATATATATATATATATATATATATATATATATATATATATATATATATATATATATATATATATATATATATATATATATATATATATATATATATATATATATATATATTAGGGTGGTGCTTAAAACAACTTTTTTGAGAAAAACCTGCTGGTACCCCCCTAAATGTGTTTTATCTAATACAAAAACACTAGGTTTAAAATTTTTTTGAACAAAAAATATTTTTAGGGGTAGCTCAAGGCCCTCAAAAATTTGACGGGTCCCTAATATTTTAAAAAAAAATTTTTCTAAAGTATGTCAACCTGGTACTCAAAATAAGCAAAATTATATAAAAAATTTAAAAATGAAAATAATTTTTTATAAAAATAATTTTTTCAGGTATAAATGCATAAAAACTATTGTTTTTAAGCTGAAAATAAAAAAAGTCAATATTTTTAGGTTTTTTGAGAATAATTTTTTTTAGGCATGTTTTTTATGTAAAAAGATTATTATTTTTGAAGTTTTTATATAATATCGCTTCTTTTGAGTACCAGGTTGACATACTTTAGAAAAAGTTTTTTTTTCAAAATATTAGGGACCCGTCAAATTTTTGAGGGCCTTGAGCTACCCCTAAAAATAATTTTTGTTCAAAAAAATTTTAAACCTAGTGTTTTTGTATTAGATAAAACACATTTAGGGGGGTACCAGCAGGATTTTCTCAAGAAAGTTGTTTTAAGCACCACCCTAATATATATATATACATATATATATATATATATATATATAATATATATATATATATATATATATATATATATATATATATATATATATATATATATATATATATATATATATATATATATATATATATATATATATATATATATATATATATATATGTATATATATATATGTATATATATGTATATATATGTATATATATGTATATATATGTATATATATATATATATATATATATATATATATATATATATATATATGTATATATATGTATATATATGTGTATATATGTGTATATGTATATATATATATATATATATATATATATATATATATATATATATATATATATATGTATATATATATGTATATGTATATATATATATATATGTATATGTATATACATATATTTACAATTGTTTAAAATTAAACAGTTTCAAACAAATTTTTTTAATGAATTTGTTTGTTCAAAATATGGTTTTCAATTCCAAAATGAATTAATACACTATTTAAAGTTTTGCCGATTTTATGCATTTTCCATCTTTCTGATAATTTTTATGGATTCCCTGTCAAAAACCATTTCACTTTTGAGGCCGAAAAAAACACTAATTGCATTCTGCATTGATTGAAACAAACAGCAGTCAGATGGCATAATGTCTGGGCTATAAGGCGGGTGAGACAAAACTTCTTATCCACTTTTTTCCTAATAGTTTCTAATTGGTCTTGCGACATGTGGCTGAGCATATTCTGGTTGTTCGCAATTGCTCTCTTTAAACAGATCATTTGTGTTCAGTCTCCTGTTGTTGTGTCCAGTCTCCTGTGATTGTCTCATTTTCAACAGCTCATAATATAATACACCCTTCTGATCCCACTCAATATGACTATTAACTTGTCAAAATATTACATTTTTAATGTGATTAAAATCTATGTTGTTATGGAAAAATACACTGTATACTGAATATTGTTGACAGAATATTGTCTAAACTTTACAATAAAAAAATATATATGACATCATTAACAATATAACACAAGTTGGTTGGTTGAACAATAATCTAAAAACCAAATAATTTAACACAAGTGGTTAAACAACAATCTGTTGAAAAACCAGAAACTTATTTGTAGTCCCAATGTTTAATTATGTAATTGGTTGCTGTAAAAACACTAATGCTTCCAACACTGCTATTTTTTTATTTTATTTTTTACCATTCGCAAAATCCAACTATGAATTTAACATTTATGTTACAATTATGAAAGAATGTTATAATACCATATTTTAGAATTGTTGAACTTTGAATAATTTTTGAATTTTCTGTAAGGTTTTATTATTTATAAAGATTTTCTGCCAGGGCTTGATTTTAAGTTGTTATGGACTTAAGGGTTTTCTTTGATGTGTTATTTGTTACATTACAAAAAGATTTTCAAAAACGATCTTCCGACATTATTTCCAAGCTTGTTGAGATGTTCTGCCGAAGGTTTAGATTTTGTTACCTCCAAACTCTTGCAATAAACTATTTTGTGTTCTCGATTTGTGTTTCTGTTTCGTTAATGATGGTGAGTTGAAAAGTTCTTTGTAATATTAAAGCAATAAATAGTTATAAACAAATTTATGAATTATGTAATTTATAAAATTAAAAAATTATGTAGCAAGTTATAATTCCAATACTATCATTGGATGGTTTTAGATTGTTCTTATTTTATTTTATCATCTACGAAAACGGAATTAAAATTTTATTTATATATTTATTAACGGAATTTTTATATATTTAACAGTATTAAAATTAAACTTATTTTTTATCAAAATTGAATAACTACGTCGAAAAAAAATTTATATTTGTTCTACCATATGTACCTCTAAAGGGATTCCTTAAGAATGTTCATAAATGTTAAACCTGATTTTTACAGTCTGTGTACTGAAATCGATTTTGCAGGTGAATTCAACTCTGATATTTTACAACGAGCAAAGAACGAAGTGCGTTTTCAAACAAAGCTTGACCCTTGGAAAGTATGATTTACTTTCCATTTATTGATTTTAGTCTTATGAACTCATGAAATGAACTCATTTATAAATTTTTTTTTTTTTTTTTTTTTTTTTTTTTTTTTTTATAGGTCAAGTTTTTTGAACCTGTTTACGGTATTTCGTAAGTTTAATTATTTGTTTAATTTTTAAAAATGTAACACCTAACACAGGTATTAACTCATTTTAAAATCATGTTTTACATAAACTCTTTGTTTACAACTTGTTTTATTCTGATTTTTTGTTTGTGAAATTTTTATCAAAAAATAAATAACTTATTTAGGTCATCGAATAATGATGCAGGCAATGATGTCATTTTGCAACCTATTGAATCGTCGTGGGTTACTTTTTTAAAATTTGCTGAAAACTCTACTGCTGACTTTGATGAAGCTTTAAAAAAGATTCAAGTATCGTTTAATTTATGATGATTATTATTATTTTTTGTGAATTTGCACTTACATGCTCATGCCGCATGTTTGTTATCTGTAACATGTTTTTCCGTTTTTATACGCATTACATGTTATTTTACTTATTTGATAATTGCGTCTGTAATTAATGTATGCCATTTTTTTTTAGTCTGAAGTCAAAAGAGATGCAAAAAGCTTTCATACTGATTTTATAGAAAAAAATGAAAAGGAAGATCGTGATTGGCTATTGCCGAAATCTGCTGTTAAAGACCGTTCTAACTGTTCCCGTACCAGTTCGCGTCATTTAAATATGCTTTCGCCTCTTACTTTAAAGCCTAAAACAATTACTGAGGATTTTATGAAAAGTAGAAGAGCTATCAAAAAAGCTCAGTTGTTACAACGCAAAAAATTTGACAAACAACTTAAAGATGCGAAAGCCAAAATAGTAGAAGATGCGCGATGCGGCTCTTTAAAGGTAGACAATTTAAAAGTACAAAAACTTAACGAAAATGTTATAAACGATAAAAATATAAGTGCGAAAACTGTTTCATCACTAGATCTTCTTGCAAGAAATGGTATATTAACATGCCCACCAGAAGACAATTGTAATTTAACCGTAGATTGTACAATAAAATTAAATAATTCACTAGAAGATAAAACGATTTCAGACAATATAAAAAATCAAAATGTCGGTATTTTAGACCTATGCGACAATTCAGTTTTGAAAAATTTAATTCATAAAAAAAACGAATTAAAACCAACACCGAAATTAAAAAATGCACGTAGAAAAGCTGTAAAAGGACCGTTTAAGTCAGAAATTACTCGTATACTACACGGACCAGCCAGTTTTGGAACAAACGACGAAGGGAAATGCTCTTGCAACTTAAGCCCAATGGCCGTATGCATACAATGTGGTTCATTTTGGCACGGAGAGAGTTTAGACAGCGATAGTAACTGCGTCTTATGTACTTCGTAAAGTAGAAAAATGCACTTTATAAAGCAAAAGAATGCTTTAAAAAGAATAATATTCGTAAAGAATTTGTGAAAACATTTCGTTACTTCGTATTTTATATTGTTAATAATTGCATCGTAATTTGTAAGCAAAAAAATGAGCTTATAGTTTTTCATGCTTCGGTTCTTGAGCAATGCCCAAGGATAAAAGGAAGTTTTTATAAATAAAAACTCTTATTTTTATGACAAATAAAACAGTTAATTGTATATACTTCACTAATTGTTTAATGATTTTTTGTCAGTGGGAGGTTGGTCAAAATAAAATGATTGTCAACTCAAAGACAGTCGATGTTGGATTTTATCATCAAATTAATTCTGTTTTGCAATTATAGATTTCATGGCGATATCTTGGTTAGCAACCCTTACAAACAATATGACCTATAAAATTAAGCTTTTCGTTGTCTTTCCATATGTATCAAAAAACGTCTAGAGAGTTGTGTGAAAAATAGTTTGTTTTATATACAATATTCTAAAAATTTGCCCTTTTATTTTTAATTGAAATATTGTTGATAAGTAAAATTCAGATTGGTATTCATTCGTTTTAAGCATCATTATCGAAACTTATTGTTATCATAATCAAATATGTTCCGAAAATTGATAGGTTTGTAACAAAATTTAGTTTAAAACTTGCAGAATGCAGAAATTTCTTACGCAGGTTCGAAAAAGGAGCTTGGATATGTTTTGTGTCACAGTAAGGAAGGAGGCATGAACTTCCTGGTTAAATTCACTTCGCGGTGCTCTGTGACAAGGCCGTTAGGTCTTCTTGGGGCACCTAAATAACAAAAAAAAAAAATTTTTCTAAAAAGGCTTGTTTTTAAATTTTTGGTTCCTATCTATAGAAAAAAAGTGCATAAAAATCAAAATAAAACATGCTGTTTCTTGTTTAGAATTTGTTGCATTTTAATGTTGGATACTTAAACTTTTTAATTAAAAAAAATAATAATATTTTTAATTAAAAATTGATTATTTATAATTTTACATTTATTTTGAAAAAAAAGCTTCCTTAGCAACATCTCAGCAAAGATTACCTCTAAAAATACTATTTCAAGATTTAAATCACTGATCTCAAAATATAACAAAAAGTTATATTTTGAGATCAGTGGTTTAAACCCATATAATATCGTATCTGCTCTTTCCATTTCTGTTAATTACTCAGAAGATAAAAAACGAACTAAAAAAAACATTTAAAGCATGTACATTATACAAGTCAATGACTGTTTTTTTAATTTCTAATACTTAATTAACATCCATATTTTCAAGAACCGCATTTGGATTAATAAGACTTAAGCAGCACATTCACTGATTAGGAATAATGAACAGATTCTATGAAATTATTATTGAAAACACTCTTTTCTAGCTAAATTTGAATTAGAATGCATATAGATTGGAAAATAGGCTATACAACCTTTGAAAATATTTGGTTGAGAAAGCCTAAAGTATATCTTAGTTATATTTACTATATATATATTTAACATGCTACAGCATGTTTACTTTAACGTTGCTTAGCTAAAGATTTACATTGCAACGAAGTTTTTAATGTATAATCTTCACGTAGTGTATAATCTTCACGTAATGTATAATCTTCACGTAGTATTTTTCACAAAAAATTGTAAACTTACTAAAGTTATGTGGGCTTTAAATGTTATTGTTATGAAGGAGCTCTATAAAAAATTATGGTGGCACCTGTCATCCGTTTCTTCTTTGAGCCTCTGTCTTTTTTTATATATATATTCTTTGTGTAACGTAAAAGTTTTACTGTAATTTTATTATTTGTTTTTTATATGTAACAGTGAAATATATATTACACTAACTAAAGTATTTCTACAAGTGAAAAATGAAGACTCCTTCAAATTATTAAGATCCGAAATATCTTCCATAAAGTTTTTTTCGAAAGATTTAATTTTAACCGGTTCTTAATCTTTAATGTACAGTTTAGTCCATACCTAGCTGGTATAGTTTTTTCCATACCTAGAGAGCTCTGATACTGCAATGACTTTTTAAAACAACCAAGCATTTGATTGCCTTCCCAAGCTTTTTTACAGTTACAGTCAAAACATTCACAGCCACATTCGTTTGCGAAGGAAATTTATAAAAAATAGTGTAAAAAATAGTTTTTTATATAATGGCAGTTACACTTGTGGAAATTAAAAAAATGATAAAAGACTTGTTTACAAAGTACAAAGTAGAAACAGAAGCTGCGCTAAAGCAACAAGAAAACAACTTTATAAATATCGTTAATGCAAACGCCAAAATCTTAAACGAGAGATTGGACAAAGTAGAAAAAAATATTTTAGAAAACGCTAAAAAAATATCAACACTTGCAACAGAAGTTGAAGAAATAAAAGTTTAAATTTTCATGAGGAACTCATTGAAAACAAAATTAGAACTGCATTAGATATTTTCATGAAAAATAAACCAACTCACAACGAAATTCAAAATAACAACATTGAACTAAAAAAAAAAAAAAAAAAATGCTTAGAGAAATAGAAGATAGATCAAGAAGGAACAATCTAAGAGTTGAAGGAGTGAAAGAAAATGATAACGAAAGCTGGCTGGAAGGCGAATTAAAAGTAAAAAAAAATATTTGATGAGTACTTGGGCATAAAAGGTGTAAAAAGTTATAAAGACGTAACAATGCCTTTTGGCTGAATTGACGTTGAGCTAATGTCTGTTCTATCGTTATTAAGACGTTGGAATAATGGCATAAATGAAGCATTTGTTTCATTGTTTCACACGATGACCTATTTAGGTCAACGTAATATTGACGACGTTGGCCAAACGTCCTCCAACGTTTTTATAACATTTTTGATGTTATTTCTACAAGGCAAAAAACAATAAAGCACAATTTTACACTGAATAACTTTGCGTTGTTAAGTTATTATTTCTTTTTTAATTTATCAAAGGTCATACACGATTATTATTTGCCCGGGCAAATAATTGAATACGGAAATTAAAAGACTAAAAATAAATAAACATTGCAATACTTCTATTTCAAAATTTTAAAATTACATAAATTAACTTAGAATGAAACTAGTTTTATTTTTACTTGCTTTGCAAATTTCAACCATATCTCAAATAATTCGCGTATTCTTTGTTTGACACTAAATAAGGAAAATGTATGAAGAAACAACTTCCAAAAAATATCCAAACAATTAAATTAAAGTAAAATTAGATCCAACTACAAACAAATCCAATTAAAAGCATTTTTAAGAACGAAATAAAAAAAACATTCGGAATGAACAAATAGAAATACCACAAATACCAGAAATTGGACTAACTTTCTATTTGATCATCACCTGAGTTTTTCTGCTTTCGAAAGATTATTGACTGAAAATCGTTTAGCAACATTGTCTGAAATAGAAAAAACAATCCCTCAATAAACTGCAAAACTAATGAAACCCAAAAGCCTCCAAAATATTTTTAATTAAATAAATAAACAAAATTATTTTAAAAACACAATCATGACATAATGGAAAAATAATATTTCTAGTTTTACCCTTAAAAGATATATCTTTGTGTTTGAGTTCAGATTTCTGTAAAGTTATTTTTTTACATGGGTTATTTTGGCAAAGACTATTTTCTTATAAAATAAATTGCATAATACAATAACGAAATTGAAATAGTACATTTACAAAGTGAAGAACCGAAAATCGTTTTAATAAATACCTCTCTTTAACACTAGTGATTACTTTGCTAGGTGTTTTTTCTTCCAATCGGAACTACTTATCTTACTAATCCGAATTATGAACACTTAAACGCTAGACCATTTGAGTAAGTGGCATCTTGTTACCAAAAACCAATAATTCCAGACTCAACAATTTTTAGATGAAATGGTATACATATTAAGAAGCGGTTATTCAAAAAGTTATAATAAACGAATCAAGTTATGTAAATTGTATGTTATTGATGTTAGAGCATAATAATCCACAGCCTTAATAATCCAGTCATCTAAACTAATTTTTGAAACTCTACCAGCAATCTAGATTTTCTGACAAAATCAGATGGCTTTTTACCGGATAAGTCATTTGACTTTTCAGAAATATGATTAATTTGAACATATGACAAATTATATATCTTTGGCCTCTTTCTTCAAAATACCAATAATCAACGGACAACCCTAAAACAAAGTACATATAGTCTAAAACAAAGTACATATAGCTTTTTAAATACTTCGTATTCTATACAACTCATCTTGGCAAACTGTATTTTGCTAAGATGAGTTATAAAGATTATAAAGTCTCAAAATAAAAAAAAATTGGCCTGATTGAAAACAACTTTCTTTTATATATTTAATAATTTACTAGCGTTGAAGTATCACATGTTAATTTTTTAACATTACCATACTTCAAATAAAAATGTCTTTGCAAACAAGGCTATTTTCTGAAAATTGGAAGTTTCGAAAGAATTTTTGGAAATTTCTAAAGAACTCTTTAAGAAACTCCTTAAAACAGTTAGGTTTTTGTTTGCCACAAAAAAAAGTAAAAATTTAGAAATAATCAAGCAAAGATAAAAGCTGTGTAATGCTAGATTTAAAAAAGAGCAGACCATATACATCTACTATTAAATATTTGTCATTGTTAATACCAATGATATATTGTATAAACTAGATGTCTAATTTGCGGGATAATATAGGACAAAAAAAGAAGTCGCTTTTTTTGCTTATAAATATAGTTCGCCATTTGTAAAAAAGGTAAAAGCTGAAGTCGATGTGTGGAATAAAAGTTAAAAATGCAAGTCAAAAGTTCCAATAAATTAAAGATAATTCAAAAACATGTTATAATAATTATAAAATACTTATAAAGGTTTATGAGCCTATGTTTGTTTAAATATTTTATATATAATATAATATTATGCAAACAAACACAGTCTTAAAAGACCTCTAATACATATACTAAAGCTTTCGTTAAATTCTTGGATATTTCCGGATGTACTTAAATTAGCAAAAGTAACTGCATTGTACAAATGTAATGATCATTCTTACACTACAAACTACAGGCTTATATCAGTACTTTCTGTATTTTCAAAACTATTCGAACGTGTAGTTTATAATAGAATCTATGATTACTTCATTAAAAACAATTTTTTTTACCCAAATCAGTTTGGTTTTCAAAAAAATCTCTCCAATCATTGAAATAGTAAATCAAAAAACTAATGGTTTTGAAAATAATAAATTTACTTTAGGATTATTTCTTGATTTATCAAAAGCTTTTGATACAGTGGACCACTGTATTCTCTTAGATAAATTAAGACATTACGGAATAATTAATAAAACTTATTATTGGATTAAAAGCTATCTTACAAACAGAAAACAATATGTAAATAATGCCAAATCTGGATTGTTAAATGTCATATGTGGAGTTCCGCAAGGATCGATTCTTGGTCCACTCCTTTTTTTAATATATATAAATGACTTCTGTAATGTATCCTTAAAACTTAATTCAGTCATGTTTGCAGATGACACGAATTTATTTCTTACCAACAACGATATCAAGAAATCATATGCGGACATGAATATTGAACTAAATAAAGTAAATAACTGGTTTAAGGCTAACAAACTCTCACTTAATGCCGAGAAAACAAACTATATACTTTTTCATAAAAAAACACAAGAAGAAAATCTTCCTCTCAAGTTGCCGAACCTATTTATAAATGATAAATTAATTAAAAAGCAATCCAATATAAGATTCTTGGGAATCGTTGTTGATGAAAAATCTTCCTCTCAAGTTGCCGAACTTATTTATAAATGATAAATTAATTAAAAAGCAATCCAAAATAAGATTCTTGGGAATCGTTGTTGATGAAAAATTATCCTGGCTTGCTCATATAATATATATCCAGTCAAAAATTACCAAAATCATAGGTTTAATGTATCGAGTTCGCTCGTACATCTATACAAATAGTCTTAAATTAATCTACTTTGGGCTAATTCACAGCCTCATCAGCTATGCAAACATTTCATGAGCAAGTACTCAAACAGCAAAGCTTAAAAAACGTTATAGTTTTCAGAAACATGCCTGTAGAATCATTTAATTTAAAAATAGGCGGGAACACGCTAATCCCTTGATGAAAGATATGAAAATGATGAATGTATTTGAAATAAATATCTACCAGCATTTAATTTTTATGTATCGTTACAATCGCTTAGTTATCGCAATATCTCTTCTATAAGCTTTAATAATAAGTTTGAGTTAAATAAAAATGATAACTATAATCTTGAGCGAATATGTTGAACACATATAAACTGCCTAGGATAATAAATAAATATTCAGAAAACAGCATTTTATATCGAGGTCCAAAAGTATGGAATATTTTTCAAAAAGGGTTCAAAGGTACGGTGAGTTCGTTAAGTTTATTCAAGTTTTTAACAAAAGAAATCTTTAAAACCTGTGAAACATTTTTTGTTAATAATGCTTTGGATAAATTCTCTTAAATACGTTTTTGTTTTGTTTTTTACTTATTTTTTTAAATTTTATTCTATGTAGTGGAATTTGTAAAATTCTTATGTTATGTAAACAGAGAAAGAAATTATATATATATATATATATATATATATATATATATATATATATATATATATATATATATATATATATATATATATATATATATATATATATGTATATATATATATATATGTATATATATACATATATATATATATATATATATATATATATATATATATATATATATATATATATATATATATATATATATATATATATATATATATATATATATATAATATTAAAAAGTCATATATAAAAGTTTATATATTATATATAAATTATAATTTATAAAAACGCTTCAGAAGCATCTGTCGTTTCGCTTTTCAATTCAAAACTTTTTTAATCAAAAATAAATTTAGAAATGATTAATGATTATTTTACAAGAACTCTAATTTCCTATTAACACCTTTACATAAATAGTATATAGATTTAAAACATATTTACTTCATATAAGAAAAAAAAAGTTAAATAATAATTGTTTACAAATTTAATCCGTCATTTGTAAAAAGGGCAAAAGCGGCTTCACTTTTTGGATCTAGTTTATATAAAATATCATTGGTTAATACACATATCATCATCATGGAACATATTTTTAATACCAATGGGTAGAAGTCAAAACCGAGATAAATGTAGTCACAATTTTTCAGTATTCACATGATTAGGTGTTTTAGTTACATTTATTTCCTATGCCCAACCAACGTTTTGGTTGTTACGTATTTAGTACTTTTTATCAAAAAATTTGTTTGTCAAAAAAAAAAAAAAAAACCTAGAAAGGGTTTTTAAACTCCATCGAATAAATATTAGGCATTTAATAAAGGTTATTTTGATAACCAAAAAATTTGTTAAAAACATTCTAGCATTTGAACTGTATTGTAGAATGATTGAAATATGAAATAATAAAGTGAAAATCAAATAAAGTTGTGTAATTTTTTACTTTAAATAATATTATTGTATAATGTAATGAATAAAGCATTTTGTTTAACTATTTAAGTAGTTTATTAATTATTTCGAGATTTTATTTAAAAATTTTTGAAATTTTATTAAGACTTCTTTGCATCACTTTTCCTTCACATAACTTCAACCTAATATCATGTTCACACTAGCGATGTTCGGCGGAACATTATTCCGGAACAAATGTTCCTCGGTACATAAAAGAAAAAACGAGTAAAAAAAACGGTAGGTAAAACTCGAATAAAAATTAGTGACAAACAGTTTGGCAAATACACATTGTTAATATAATTTATTAATTTTTAATATTTAAACATTTATGAGAGGTAAAACTAAATACAAATAACGCTGAGAGTTTAGCTAGCTCAGAGTTAGACAGTAGAAACCCAACCCAAAATACCCGCCATACAAAAAGTGACGTTAGAATTTTGTTATCCCGTTTTTTGGCTTTTATGGATAGGTCATATCTCCTTTAGTCGCTTTTGACGACACAGAATAGTTGTCCATCAGTGGTATAGTACCGAATAAACATATTATACATTAATATGTTACCCACGACCACTTAAAACTAATCTCATTTTGTGTTCATACATATTTAATATTTATTTATTTAGACTGTTAACAAAAACAAAAATGAAACATGTAATGCAACTTGTATAAATTAAAAACAAAACACTTTGGCAAAAAACATATCACTATAATTCATCTACAGGCTTGCTTCATATCGCAAAAAAAAATTATTTGGTAAAAATACTAAATATATATTGCATAGAGATACAAAAAAAGGTATTTATAAAATAACATGACAAATTTAAAAAATACCACCAGATATGCATTTTAATGCTTGAAATCACAAAATATTTTTATTTTACATAAAGTAAAAATTCCTTTGATAATAGTAATATGGTAACATGAAAAAATATATAAAAATAGAGCTTCATCTACAAGCTTGTACAATATTTCACTAACCATCTCTTTAGTTAAAACATTGAAAAACCTTATGAAATATATATTGCATAGAATTGTAAACAAGGTATACTGTTGAAAAAATACTGACCTTTCAACTTTAACATAATTACTAAAAAGATATCTTGACTAATAGAACACCTTATTTTTTTATTAAAAATTTATAATATTCTACTTGGGCTTTAGACGCATCTACTTGGGCTTTAGATGCATTTTCAATTGCATCACAAATACGCTCTAAAGCAACAACTTCTCTGATTCGTAGCTCTTGTGAACGGATTTGAACATCTAAATTTTTATTTGCTATTTTTAAATATTCAGAAGAAAAATTTGTTTTTTTATTTTTTCTCACCGGTTCAGTTTTTGCTATTTTATTCAAAGTTTTTTTATCATCAGAGTTCCTTCGTTTATTGCAGCTGGATGTAGATTGAGTTAGTTCCTCATCAGGAATAGTGACAACTGATTGCACATCACTTGTATCATCCAAAGCTTCAATATTTAAAATACTGACAGTCTCCTTGCTATCTTCCATTGTGGCAATCTGTAAATAAAATATACACATTAAAAAAATTACACATTTGAGAAATGATTATAAATCATGTTTCAATCAAAATTTATCTCTTGACTTTGAAAGGCTTGACTTTCAAAAAGGATCTATTTAGACAATAGTATTTTACAAATTGATCTAGCCAATATTAAAAGATCCCTTTTATAATTCAAAAACTTTATATTATATGTTTTTGATCTTTATGTTTTAAGTCTGCCAAATGTTGCAAAACTAAGAACCTCTTAAACCTTATTTTGTAGAAATAGTTAACATACTTGTTTATATTACTTTAAAAAATATATAGCACTTTAAAATATACAACAATAAATTATACTAAACTTACCTGACCATCTTGAAAATCTTGAGTAGAAAAGTTAAGACTTTGAGATAAAAGGCCATTGTCAAGGGAAGCTTCACCACCTATTATTTTGGCAACAATATCGTAAGGCCACCATTTACTAGGAGCTCCTCCTGATGAACCAACTTGAAGTTTTTCTCGTCTATGAAACATATACATAAATATAAGTAAATATAAGCACATCATTAACACCGTATAAGATTAATCAAATAATTTTAAATGGACAAATTATTATTAACGAAATAATTATTAACAAAATTAACGAATTATTAACGAATAATAAAATAACGAATTATTAACAAAATAATTATCAACGAGCTGTAAATCTTCAATACTGAATAAGATTTAAGTAATTTTTAATATAACACTCAGTTACAAACTAAATTGCAATTAGATATTATTACACATGGTTAGTTTTGTAAAATACTTTCAGTATTTCAGT